GTTGATGGCTTTCAAAAGTAAATTCCAGAAAGAGCCATTTGATCCTCATCAAAGTCTGCATTGAAACCCTTACACACTAATATACTTGATACTCGATCTATTTCACCGTACTTCTACTTCCTGACATTAAGAAAGTTTAAAACAAGGTCCTTCAAGAAGAAAGGAAGCACATGCTTGAGACCATTAGGATTCCTGTTAGTGATGGTGCACTTGCTGCTAATGTTAGCTGCATTCAGTCTCTGAGTGGTCTACCTGTTGCTGCATCATAACCGGCTGACTCCTCTATTGGTTGCTGCTGGTTTATACATAAACTAAACGAGAATTCCACATAGGAACAAAATAGGGGGTACTCATGAAGAAAGGGGGTAACACTTTTCTGTGTCACCATTTGTGGGATCCGACGCATATAGAAGGTTTAGTTCCTATCTTGGGCAATTCATATAGGTTTCGTTTTTATCTTGGAATGATTTAGAAATAGAACAATCCGTTTATAGAATTCGCTACTGCGCCAGGGGAAAGGTTCTACCCTCAATCTTACTTGTATCGACATGTGACGAGGAAGCGTCCTTGGCACATGTCTACGACAAATCCTATTCGAGAGGCACCGAAGGCTGGTTAGAGATCGGATACTTGACCATAGCTACCTCTTTTCTAGATCTGGTTAGAGATCGGTTGACTCCCCCACAACAACTCATGCACTACATAAATCTCATGCGGTTGTCCATACCTCCCATTTAGAGCACATATCTCACAGTGGTAGGCTTGGCGAGTATACCGACCATCAACTTCAGGCACAACCACGGGCAACCTGAAAAGTAACGACGATATTTTCTTATACTGCTCTGGAAAGAGAAACAACACTACCTCAGGGCGGTATTCATTCTCGATAACATCCATATATGACCTGAAAGGAAGATCGATCCCAAAAACGGTATCTGAATTCAACACTGTAATTTGAATCTTATGTGCAAGAAGTTCAATGAGTCCCGATACTCCGATTTAGAAAGAACCTCTTCTGCTCTAGCATGGGATGCTCGCCGACTACATCAGTACACGCTTTATCATAAATAGGATGAACGCTGAAAGTCCTAGAGTCTCACTCATGGCATTTGCTCGAGTTATAGAGGCTCTATCTATATTCTTATTATCGTGCTTGGATAGCAATCCTTTCTTTCAATCGACTAAGATTGTTAGAAAGCACATTCATATAAGCCTTGCCTTTTAGTAACTATCCTTAGCGATGTTCTTCTGCCTATCTCCTATTGGTCAGACAGATCCGGGCTTATCAAGTGGTACTGAAATAGGGTCAAATTCTGTTTAGTAGAAAGGAAGGAAGACGGCATGGGTCTCGTCGGACTTGATGACGATGCCGAAGTATAAGGGAGGCATGGGATTTAGAGACATTGAAATTGAGAATCTGGCTATCTTGGCTAGGCAAGCCTGGCGGATTCTACAAGATCCTATGTCTCTTAGCGCCCGGGTGTTGAAAGTGGTTTATTTTCCAACTGCTCCTAAGTGCTGCTCTAGGAAACAAACCGTAATAGATATGGACGGGAATAAAAAATGGACGCTGAGTAAATCTGTAATATTCCTATTAGCCATGTCACTTAGGGAAACTTCTGGGCGTGGCCCGGCATTATAAGAAGACCGGTAACAAAGGAAGGAGACTATCTATTTGCTGAGACTATGGTTACTCTTAGCTTGACATACAGAGTTTAGGATGTGATCGATCGGTCGGGAGGACAATAATAACAATGTAGAGAATTGGTCTAGCTACAATCCTCCAGTGGAATTAAAGCGACTCGCCAAGGCCAGTTCGATAGAAAGGGAACCCTTGTGGAGAGACAGGATCCCATCTTTCGGTGGAAGAACCTCTTGATCTTACGCCCTATGTTCTTGATAAAGTGAGCTATGTCATAGCCTATTGCTACCCGATCAACAAGTCGGTCTACTTCTGGCTCTTGCCTTGATTGGAATGGCTTTCGAGTAAGAAAGGGCCTTTACTTTCCCCCTAAGGGTAGGAAAATCATGATCGGGATAGCGGACGTAAAGCTATTGAACTTAGGTATGCTCTTTCCTTCTGTCGAAGTGGAATCGTAGAACACAATGTGATACGATGAGATAGAAAATGCAATAGAAATAGAAATAAGGATAGCAAATGGGTTACCTACTCTACTCCTAAGGGTCAAAGCAAGCCCTTTGATTCCATTCTTTATTCTTACATTAAAGAATGAATCAAATCTCCCCAAGTAGGATTCGAACCTACGACCAATCAGTTAACAACTGATCGCTCTATCGAACTGAGCTATTGAGGGCGAACGAATTGCTTAATAAGCTGAACACCCACATAATCTCGATTTGACACAGCAACACTTTCCATAACAACAGGGATTAAAAAACAGGTAATCAGGACTCGGATCCTGGGTATCTGTCTGACGTGTGATAAGACGGGGACAGGATTCGAACCTGCAGTCTTCAGGTCATGAGCCTGATGAGTTGA